GTAATCTATTACTCCATTACTCTAATTACAGACAATACTGTAAACGTCAGCCAAAGGGTTGCAATCAAGAGTTAATTGAACACAAATATGGCTTCAATTCTTCATTCATTTAATAAATGACTTTAAAATTAAAAAATAAGTTTTCACTTGAATTATGAACACCTCCGCAAACTTAAATTGATAAATCAATATTTAATTTCATAGAGAGACAGACATACAAACAGTTAGCCTATCTTAATATGCAATCTTAGAAAAGGTACTGTACTTCAGATTCAAATGCATGGGTTGAATGTATTACCGAATGTGTAATATTAGAAAACAATCACATTTTAATACATTCTGTCCCTGACCTCATAGTTTGTGAATTAAAAAATATAATAACTTTATATTTAGTGAATAAAACTTTCATTTTTTAAAAATCTCTTTGAATATGAATTAGCTGTAAAACAAATGTGTTTTACAGCCATTGAATAGTTACTACATTGAGTACATACAGTAATAAATATGTTATGATTTTGAATGGCATAGACTACCTAGGCTATAACATAATAACTCACACCTAATTCGTCCCAAATTGGTTTTATGCAAAACTGGGAGGAAAGGCATTCTTGACTCGTCTTTCCACACATAACACACACTCATAGCTGTGTGGAAAGGCTATATTCTGTGCCTTTCTATTACTGAACACACAAATGAGGAATCATTATAACACAGACATAAGACTTGAATCTGTTTTATAATAAAAATACAATTAAAAAGTGAAAATGATTTTATGGATACGAATACGTAAAATAGGATTTTTGTTTGTTTTGAGGATTGGGTGAAGGATTATAAATTCATTATAAGGATGTCATACACCGTATGTCTTTGATAAGTAGGCAGTAAATAGTTGTTCAAAATTAGCGATTCTCTCCCAAACACCACATTCCCGTGCCTTTAAGGGCGAGGAGTTTTGCTTTTTATATTTAGTCAGTATATAAGCTCAAGAAATGTCTTTGATAAGTAGGCAGTAAATAGTTGTTCAAAATTAGCGATTCTCTCCCAAACACCACATTCCCGTGCCTTTAAGGGCGAGGAGTTTTGCTTTTTATATTTAGTCAGTATATAAGCTCAAGAACTCATCAATTTTCAGTCATAAGAAGTGAAAGTTTTTTGTTGTTTCCACTCGTCTTCACGTTATATTTCATATCATTTTTAATTTAATAATCAAATAAAATGCTCTCAAAATCAGTGATAATCAGACTCTTGTGTCTGAGTCTAAGTGTCATCTGCACCAACGGTCACTTACCCCACGAGCACATCGGCGGACCGATTCTCATTGAGTCCCGACCCCCACCAGCCCTCCCATTCTATGGCCCCCCGATCCCCATAGTGGCCGCGTCTGTCAAATCGCCGCCAATCGTGGCTGCAGTCAAGTCAGTGCCTCTGCCACCCGTCACCCGCGCCCGGATTGGTGTCAAAACGGTGTTCCGTCCGCCACCACCAGCACC